ATTTATTTATTTTATGTTTTTATTTTATTTTTTGAGAGACAGAGACAGAGCACTAGTTGGGGAGGGGCAGAGAGAGAAGGATACACAGAATCTGATGCAGGCTCCAGGCTCTCAGCTGTCGGTACAGAGCGCAATGCGGGACTTGAACCCACGAGCTGTGAGATCATGACCTGAGCTGAAGTCAGATGTTTAACTGAGCCACCCAGGCGCCCCTCTCATGTCAGTCTTTTCAATATCAATATACATCTCTGGTATGCAGTTTATAGCTGAGAACTGGACATGTCCTTTTTCCCTTCAGGCTTCAAAAACATAGATATCAGAAGTCAGAGTATGGGAACAGATAGGGTGATGCTTGGGAGAGAAAGCTTAAAAAACCTTATTTTTCAAAGCAAGCATTTATCTGTAGCAAAAATGCTGATGTTTTGAAGAAAAGGAGAAACCAGTTTTTAAATGTACAGAGCTGTTGGGGCACCTGGGTGGGTCAGTCTGTTAAGCAGCTGACTCTTCATTTCGGCTCAGGCCATGATCTCATGGTCGTGAGATCAAGTTGCACGTTGGGCTCTGTGCCAACTGCACAGAGCCTGCTTGGGATTTTCTCTCTCCCTCTCTGTCTGCCCCATCCTCTGCTCTCTCTTTCTCAAAAATAAATAAAATAAACATTAAAAAATAAACATACAGAGAAGTTTATTAAAACAAGAAAAAAATTAAAATGTCAAGATAAACATAGTTTTAGAGCAAAGATAATCTTATGACCAACAACTGAGTTGAGTTCCTGTACCATTAGTTTCAACTGACATCATTTCTGATGTGGTGGTCCAAAATATGTTCCCCAATTTTTTGACACTCTCTGTAAAAAGTGGAGCCTAATTCCTCTTCCATTGGATTTAGTGACTCACTTCTAACCAATTAAAAAGTAAAAGTGGGCCAGTATGCAACTTCAGAGAGTAGGTCATAAAGAGGCAGTGCATTTTCCTGATTGCTCCTTCACCTGGATGATTCACCTTTGGGGAAGCTGACTGCCATGTCCTGAAGACACCCAAGTGACAAATTTCAGAAACTTCAGTTAGGCTCCTCTGAGCCCTCTTCTGGAATAGTCCTCAACCTTGGCCTTCTGTAAGGCTGCACAGTTTAGTCTTAGCAAGAATCTTGCTAAATCAACACCCCACTCTTGATATCTGATCATGTTCTTCATTCCCCACTCTTGATGTCTAAGTCCTTGACCTGCCTTTAGTAATAAGCCCCTTATCCTGATGTCTCCTTTTAGTAGTTTTCTGTCACTGACACCCTCACTCTGCTCTTTGGTTACCAATTTCCAGCTATCTTTGCTGTATTCAGAGTTGAATTCATTCTCTCTTTCCTATTGCAATATCCCTAGTTGCAACAGTTTTGAATAAAGTCTTCCTTACCATTTTAACAAGTGTCAGAATAATTTTTTTCTTTAGCGGAAGCAGCCTATGGAAAAGGTCCACCTGGTGAGGAACCAAGGCTTCCTGCCAAACAGCCAGTCAGGTTTTAGATCACTGCAACTCCAGACAATCTTGACTGTATGCTCCTAACCAATACTGAGCCAAAATTACCCACTAAACTTCTTCTGAATTTCTGAACAAGAGAAACTGTGAACTAATATTTTTTGTTTTCAGCCACCAAATTTTGAGGTTAATCTATTATGCAGCTATAGATAACTAATACACCTGAGTACCAGATTAAATAGTAAATTGGGAGTTATGAGAAACATCAACTCCAAGTTAGTTAAGTGCAAGATAGAATAACTTTCATGGAAACTTTTTAAAAAACTTTTTTCTTTTTTGGTGCTTTTCATATTAAGTGCATTAAGTGCATTCTAGTTAGACTATGTCAAAAAGGACTCCAAAGCTCACCTCATTTACAAATTGGAAAGTAAGGACTGGGAGAGAGTAACTGGTTTAAGCAAGCCTTCATTAAAAGCCCTCACTAACCTTTCCTTAAGCAAAGGTTCATTTAAAACCTGCACATCCTGATTTACAACTCAGTGTTTTTTCCCCCCATTATGCCACTTAAGACATGGTACAGAAAGAAATTTGAAATATGTCTTTCTGATAAAGATTTGTCTTAGTCTGTCTGGGTTGCTATAACAGAGTATCACAGACTTGGAGGCTTAAACGAATGTTTATTCCTCACTTTTCTAGAGGCTAGGAAATGCCAAGAGCAAGACACTGGCAGATTCCATGTCTGGTTAAGGGCTACTTCCTGATTTACAGACGGCTCTTTTCTTGCTGTGTCCTCACGTAGCAGAAGGGAGTTCTCTGGGGTGTCCTTCATAAGAGCACTAATCCCATTCATAAGGACTCCACCTTCATGATCTAATCACCTTTCAAAGGACCCACACCTATCACATTGAGGATTAAGATTGTAACATATAAATTTCAGAGAGACACAAACATTCAGTACATAACAGGGATTATAGTATATGCTGGGTTAAAAAAAAACCACTGTGAATAGGAATATTAGAAAGACACTAGAAATAGCTGTATCAGAAAAATCTGTATGTTGGGACTCCTGGGTGGCTTAGTCGGCTAAGCATCTGACTTCAGCTCAGGTCATGATCTCATGGTTCGTGGGTTCAAGCCCTGCATTGGCCTCTGTGCTGACAGCTCAAAGCCTGGAGCCTGCTTTGGATTCTGTGTCTCCCTCTCTCTCTGCCCCTCCTCTGCTCAGTCTATGTTTCTCTCTCTCTGTCTCAAAAATGAACATTAAAAAAAATGAAGAGAAAAATCTCCATGTCCTATTAGATATGGTAGAGTTAATTCTTCAAATGTCATGTCTTGTATGGGTTCTTCTCTTACCCATCTATGGACAGAGCTAAAGATAATTTGTAACCCCCTCCTTTTTCTCTTTTTAAACTTCTGGAACAGGGGCATCTGGGTGGTTCAGTCATTTAAGCATCTGACTCTTGGTTTTCAGCTCAGGTCATCATCTCACAGTTCATGGGCTCAAGCCTTCGTCCACCTCTGCACTAATACCACAGAGCCTGCTTGGGATCCTCTCTCTCCCTCTCTCTCTGCCCCTCCCCTGTTTGTGCTCTCTCTCTCTCCTCTCTCTAAGTAAATAAATAAACTTAAAAAAAAAAAACTTCTGGAACAGCCAAAATAAATTTTTTTTGTCAGTAGTCCCTATTTCAACAAATAGTATTTCTATCCATCTAGTTGCTCAAGCCAAAAATCCAGGAGTCCTCCTTCTTATTTCCTTCTCCTTATTCCTAACCTCCAATCATAAAATTTTGTTCATAGGAATCACAGTATTAGTATTAAGCATAAGTATTAAGTAATTAAATATTAGTATTTAAGTATTAGTGTTAACTATATTAGTATTCGTAGTTAAGAATTAATATTAAGCATTTCTCAGAATACTACCAAAATTAATTTGGTCTCCCAGCCTACAAGCTTGTGCTTCTTCTAATCTATTCTCTGAACTGTAATTAGGATATTCTTTTTTTTTTTTAATTTTTAATGTTTATTTTTGACAGAGAGGGAGAGAGAGAGCGAGCACACAAGTGGGTGGGTGGGGCAGAAAGAGAGAGGGAGACACAGAATTTGAAGCAGGCTCTAGGCTCTGAGCTGTCAGCACAGAGCCCAACATGGGGTTCCAACCCACAAACCATGAGATCATGACCTGAGCTGAAGTCAGATGCTCAACCAACTGAGCCACCCAGGCACTCCAGGATATTCTTCATAAAATGTAAATCTGAGAATATTCTCCTGTCTAAAACCATCCAGTGTTTTCTACTGTTATGAGAATAAAGTCAAAAATCATAACCATGGCCATTGCAGCCTTAAGCAAGCTGCCTCTGCTTATTTCGTTAACTTAACTTTCTAACTACTGACAAAACCTCTCCTTGACCAAATCTGAGTCTGGCTCCTCTGAGCCCTTCTCTCAGCTAGGCTCTGATGTTGGACTCCATCGTTGGTCCACAGTCCAGTTTTTGTTGTTGTTGTTGTCACTTAGTCTAGTTTTAGCAAGAATTTGGCTGTCAGTGAAAATTTCTCATTTTTGGCACTTAATCATCCTCTAGATCTGATAAAATTCCTCATCCTCCACTGTCAATGTGTTATCAACCTGGCCTGGCTTCAGTAAGAATTACGCTGAGTCAGTCTAGTAAGAATCTCTCTTATGCCTGATGTTTCTTTCCTCTTAGTTAATTTTCCATTCACTGATCCTCACCCTACACTTTGGCTATAATATTGCCCCCTCAATTGTCCTTGGTGAATTAGAAGTTGAGGCTGATCTCTCTCCCCAACTTTAAAACCCCCATTGCAGCAATCCCTCTTAAAGTCTTCCTTATGTCTTTAATAAATGTCATGAATAATTTTTTCTTTAACACGGCTCTCCCATAATTTTTTAGTTTCAGTTAACTGGACTATTTTCTCCCACCTCAAGACCTTTGCATATGCTATTCCTTTGCCTATGAATTTGTTTTCCCAACTGCTGTTGTCTTTCAAACTAAGCGTCATTTTCTCACAGATGTATTACCTGTACCCCAAGGCTGTTAGCTCTCATACTAGATGTTCCATGGCACCTTGAATTTCTGAACACTCTTCACACTTTCAATTTGTTGTTCATTGTGAACTCCATATGGATAAAGGCAACGTTGGTCTTGTTTGCTGGTGTCCTCAACATGTACTATTGATGGGGACATAGTAGACACTCAAATATTAGCTGAAGGTATGAGTAAACACCTAAAGTAAACTTCATTTTTTTTTTAACGTTTATTTATTTTTGAGACAGAGAGAGACAGAGCATGAATGGGGGAGGAGCAGAGAGAGAGGGAGACACAGAACCGGAAGCAGGCTCCAGGCTCTGAGCCATCAGCCCAGAGCCTGACGCGGGGCTCCAACTCACGGAGCGCGAGATCGTGACCTGGTTGAAGTCGGACGCTTAACCGACTGCGCCACCCAGGCGCCCCAGCCTAAAGTAAACTTCAACATAAGAACAATAAATTCAAACAGAACACAAACATACAAAAATGGAGTTTATAATCATTTTTATGTTCACTTATAATTTTAGTATGGCATTAACAACATAGAAACTGAAGACTGACTTAGTGTTTAATTTCTACCAACTGCAGTTTTGGTGTCATTCTATTAAGACATAAGAGAGGTTTTCAAAAGATCCTCTAACTGGACTAAAACTGTAAAATATTAATGATGGTGTTGACTGATGCCCAGCTCATCAATAGGCTACAAAAAAGAACATATTCACTTTTCAAAAAAAGTAACAAATCAAACCTCAAGCCAGAATATAACACTGTGTATATTCTTTTCATAACATAATACTGCAGAGTATTCTTTTTCTTCTAGCATCTACATTCGCAGCATTTCAGTGGGACAAAAAAATCTTAGGTGACAAAAAAGTAAGTTAAGCAATTTGCTTTCTTTTTGTGGAGCTTCTAGTTACTATTGGCACTCGAGAAAAATTAATAGTTGTTTTGGCTTTCAAAGCTTTTTTAAAGTATTTAAAAATTGACTGAAGGCTAGAGGAAGGGGCTAAGTTGTGTTTTTCTGTACCAGCAGAAACCATAGGAAACTCCTGTTTTAAAACAGTAGCTGCAGGTTTATCCAAAGGCTTAGGGCTTGTCACCCATTCACGGCAGTGGTGCTTTATCCAGGCCAATAACTGAACATCACTTCCCAGCTGGTGTCCTACATGATGTTCAGAGTCAATAAAGGCAACAGCATATACTTTGTTCATCACTTCCCACTTTTTACGAACAAGTAAGTCCATAAAAACCAAGCCTCCATAACCATGTACAATGAAGGCAACATCCTTGCCTTCAGTCTTTGAAATGAAGTAATCCCAAATGTAAGCCATGTGTTCTTCAGGAGTGTTGCTGCATCTTTTAGGGGTGCACTGGAGAGGTTGCTGGACAGATAAAAAGTTCTCTGCTGGAACCATTTTTAGGGAAGATGACCCCTTAGTTTGGGTTAAAAGGCCTTTCTGCTCTTCTTCCATGTTTAGGTCGATGAAATTGTCATTCGGGTTTAGCACAATTACATCATAATGTGCCTGCAATGCCATTTGAATACATGGTATCTGACTTCCATGTTGGAGACCATGATGTATTATTGCCTGCTGACTCCACTGACCAGCTCTAAAGACTCCTTGGTCTTGAAGAAGAACAAGAAGAACAGAACGATGACTCGTTAATGCTCTCTCACTCATGAAAAAGAAGCTTCTTGGTTCTTTATCAGCCTCTGGTGGGATATATACTTTTTGTAATTTGCATACTTTCTCCAAAAGCTCATAAATATATTGTTCAAGCAAATAGCCAAGGGCCTGGTAGCGCTTGCTGTTCCTCTCAAAGACATTTTTATAATAGTTAAAAACAAAAGGCCTTTGTGTCTCAGTGTGTCTCAATTCAGCTTTTTCATTGAAGTCATATTTAAGTTCTTCTAGTAAGTCAGATTGTTCAATAAATTTTTGGAAGCTCAGCTCCCGAGTAACTGGTAACCACTGAAAATAAAAAAGCAATAATCTGTCAGTGGTAGAAAAAACTAAAAATATCCACTTGTTAAATTATTCCTGTGGGAAATCATTCTAAAATTAAGTACTTCACTAATACATTACCCTTTTAATCTAAATTAAGGACTGAGTTAAGGACTTAATCTGAGTTAAGGACTTTAACTCAAAATAATTGTGAATGATGCAAAGTAGTAAGGGATAATTAAGTATGGGAAAATGGCCAGACCATACATAGTGACAGAACTGACCCACAATCCATAGCAACTTGCCCAGGAAGCCAACCCTTTATCTACAATAAATAGCCCAGGAAGCCAGCTTGCTATAAGTCAGATTTGTATGAAGTCAGACTACTACCTCTAGTGACAATCCAGCAAGCTAAACAATAACCTCTGTTACAACTGGCCACAAATGGCCAGGACTTGACTAATAACTGAGAGCTTTCCTAATTTTTATCCCTGCTTCCAAATTAGGACCCATGAGAAAAAGCCAAATATGCATCCCTAACCAATCACACAGGATATTCTGCTTTTAGTTAGCCCACCTGCAGCTTCCCCAGGCCAACAGCCTCCAATCAGGACATACCAACAGCCTTTCTTATTTTCCACTATAAAGCTTTCCCAGTTTTCTGCCTTCCTTTGAGTCTCTGCCAAAATGCAAGTGATGTGGTTGACTACATTGATATAGCTAGCACAGAATAAATAGGTTTTGCTTTTCTCATTTGGTTTGGCTTTATTTCCACAGTCAGCATTCAATAATTTTTGCTGTTAAATAAATGGCAGGGGATGGCAGTGGGGGTGAAATGTGAACCAGGCAGTACAGGTTATGATCAATTTATCTTACAATGAAGATATGGTATTTCAGATGTCTGAGAAGAAAAAAGTGGCTGACTAAAAAGTTAATTTAGACAGTTATTGTGGACAAAGCCTAAAAGAAAAGACTTTGAAAGGTTAAGTGGCTTGCCCTGAAGATTATTCATTAAATTATTATTAAATACATGATTGGGTACTGAGGTTGTCGGACTCTAAAATTCATGTTCTTAACTAATACATGAATATGTTCTCTGCTTAATTTCTTAACATTGACAGTGGTAATCCATGACTCACTTCCAATAAGTAGCAGTGAAAATGATTTTTAATTACACTCATGAAACTATCAAGGCTTATGGCAAAATTAAGATGGTGCTTGCTTACTTTATTTTCTTAACTCTTTTCTCACTTTCTGAAACTTATTCTGATTCCCATATGTAACGGCTATGTTATGAAGGTGTTTGGTTGTCCAAACCACCCAATGTATCTAGACTGTTCTCTATTCCCTCCTGTTCCATTAAAAAACTGTTTTCTGGGGTGCCTGGGTGGCTCAGTTAGTTGAGCGACCAACTTCGGTTCAGGTAATGATCTCGCGGTTTGTGAGTTCAAGCCCCACATCGGGCTCTGTGCTGACAGCTTGGAGCCTGGAGCCTGCTTCGGATTCTGTGTCTTCCCCTCCCCTGCTCATGCTCTGTGTGTGTGTCTCTCTCTCAATAATAAATAAAACGTTAAAAAAAAAAAAGTTTTCTTCTAGTGTTGCTGATCTCAGGGGCCATTATGTAATTAATGTCTTTCCAAAGTGTAAATGACAGATAGACCTAATTATCCTTTAAAAGGAGAAGCCTTGGGGTGCCTGGGTGGCTCAGTCTGTTGGGCTGGGCATCCAACTTCGGCTCAGGTCATGATTTTCATGGCTTGTGATTTCAAGCCCTGTGTCGGGCTCTGTGCTGACAGCTCAGAGCCTGGAGCCTGGTTCAGATTCTGTGTCCCTCTCTTGCTCTGCCCTTCCCCTGCTGGTGCTCTGTCGCTCTCTCTCAAGAATAAATAAAACATTAAAAAAAAAATTAAAAGGAGAAACCTCTTGGAGGGAAGGTGGGTGGGGAATGGGCAAAATGGGTGATGGGTATTATGGAGGCACTTGCTGTAATGAGCACTGGGTATTGTATGTAAGTGATGAATCTCTAAATTCTACTCCTGAAACCAATATTACACTATATGTTAACTAACTAGAATTTAAATAAATAAATAAATAAATAAATAAATAAATAAATAAAGAGAGAGAAGTCTGTCGAATTAGATTGATTTAGGTTTAAACCCTAGCTCCAAATTTTCAGTTCGAGTGACTTTCAGCAGGTTCTTACCTTCTATGAGTTTCTTCATCTTCTGAGTTTTACTTTATGATATTTAATAGTGATCCTTATTACTATCTTGCTACTCTGCTTTATTTTTCTTCATAGTCTACATTACCACTTAATACATAATTGCTTGTATATTTTTCAACTTTACGTCTTCCCTCACTAGAATGAAAGCTCTAGGAGAACAGGAATTTTATTTAACTACTATATCTTCAGTGTTTAGAATGCCCTCTGGCACATATTATATAAATTTTTTTTGAGAGAATAAATGCAAAATAGGGATAACATTATTTCACAAGGCTGTTGTGTGAAATTAACTAATGTAGGCAAAAACCATGCTACATAGTGTCTCATGCATGGAAGGTTCTGTGAAATTAGACAGGATGATATTCATTTTTGAGAAATGTGAAATAAAAAACCATATATATCTCTTTCCAGCCTTTCTTATTCACTTTAACATTGTGATATTTATCCATTTAATAAATGTATTTCTACATCATTTTGTTTTTGGTGTTCCATTTCTTGAATATGCCATAGTTTAACCATTTTCTTGTGGAAGAACATTTAGATTGCTCTAATTTTCTACTATTATATACAAAACTGAAATGGATATTTTTATAGCTATATTTTTGTGCACATAGCAAAAATTTCCCTAGGCAATATACTTGAAGGTGGAATTTCTAGGTTATATCAGCATCTTTCACTTCACCAGACATTGCCAAATTGCTCTTTAAAAAGAAAGTTCTATTTTATAAATTGGCATGGATGACCAGGTTTGCACAGAATACCAATAGTCTCTCAGATCTAAAATACCCTGTTTAGGGGTGCCTTTCAGTAGAAAGAATATGTGACTCTTGATATTGGGGTCATGAGGTAGAGCCCCATGTTAGGGGTAGAGATTACTTAAATAAATAAAATTTAAAAAATACTGTTTATTCAGATGCTGGTCTGAAAATTGCCTTTTCCTCTACTGAGATACAGTATATTTAAAGCTCAAAGAACTGGGGCGCCTGGGTGGCTCAGTCGGTTGGGTGTCCGACTTCGGCTCAGGTCATGATCGCACAGTCAGTGAGTTTGAGCCCTGAATCAGGCTCTGTGCTGACAGATCAGAGATTGAAGCCTGCTTCGGACTCTGTGTCTCCCTCTCTCTCTGCCTCTCCCCTGCTCATGCTCTGTCTCTCTGTGTCTCAAAAATAAATAAAAACATTAAAAAAATTTTTTAAAAACACATCAATTTCTTCTTCTTAAAAAAAAACAAACCTCAAAGAACTAAGCAAAGAATTTTGTTAGCTATTTAACTCTTTTTTAATCAGAAAGTAAAATAAACAAAATCAGTATTTTCATTCTTTTTAAATAAGTATTTAAAAAAATTTTTTTAATGTTTATTTATTCTTGAGAGAAAGACAGAGTGCAAGTGAGGAGGAGCAGAGAGAGACACAGAATCCGAAGCAGTCTCCAGGCCTTGAGCTATCAGCACAGAGCCCAATGTGGGGCTTGAACTCGTTAACCATGATATCATGACCTGAGCCAAAGTCTGACACCTAACTGACTGAGCCACCCAGGTGCCCCTTAATCAGTATTTTCTAATAGCATATAGCACAACATTTAATGATCTTTTCCACTTTTGTTCAGTGTTTGTATACTTAGTTGTTTGAGACACTTCTCAGGGCTGAAGAATGAGAGTTTGCAAACTGGAAAAACAAAATGGCACACAGATATATAAAGGATAGGTGGTGATGGGGTGAACAGGAGCAAGGTAGAGAGTATCTTCCAGAATGAAAAGCTAGATGATTTCTAGCACATTTTGCTTGGTTAATATCCTCCAACCTGAAACTCTCCCCTAAATTTATATCTAATTGTCTACTAGGTATATTGACTTAGATGTCAAATAGCCATCTCAAGCTTAACATGCCCAAAATACCTTCTTCAATCTGCTCTCTCTAGTCTTTACTATCTTAGCACATGGCAACTTTATTCTTTCAGTTGCTCATGCTTTAAATGTTCCTTCTCTCTTTCACACTCAATCCAATCAATCAGCAAATCTTTAGGCTCTTATTTTTTTTAATGTATTTTAATTTTTTATTTTTTGAGAGAGTGCATGTGTGTGCAGGGGAGGGGAGAGGG